CCCCCCCCCTCTTAGTGCTCTTGATCCTAACATTGATTACAAACGTGAATCCTATGTTGTTCGGCATATCATTGGTTCATCCGACACTTCATCCAATCCTTCAGTGCATCATCCTCTCCTTCGGCGTATTGCCCAATCGACATGTTTACTCCTACAACTTTCAATATCCTTGGTGTAATGTTCGATCCTTCGGCTCGATGCCCAAACTCATGGCATGAAGTCCTTCCGGCACGTCGACCAATCCTCTAGCCCGACGTCTAATTTTTTTACATTCTATTCTGGCCCAACATTTGATTCTTCGCGCGTCAATCAATTTGCCTTTCTTTGATCGAGGGTAGTCTTGCGTCACTCAAAATGATGATTAGATCATAACTTCATCAATTGATTTCATCATCAAAATCTAAAATTCAACAATCTCCTCCTTTTTTATGATGACAACCAATTGATGATAGTGTTTAAACTAAACTCTCCCTATCAATATGCCATATTGAAATGAACCTTGAATTCAAGTAAAAGCAATTTTAATCATGATTTATATGTAATACATCATATTATTACTTACATCGTAAGTTCAAGTATTGTATCCAAACCATCATACATAATAAAATTCCATTATACCATGCATGATCATCATCATACCTTCTCCCCCTTTATCATCAATAAAAAAGAGAAGTACAACTAGCAAGTTTTTAAGATAATTTCAAATCATTGCATTTATCATCATATAAGCTAGCAAGTTTTTCATATATGAAAGTTAGCAAAATTTTTGCATCTTTTGATATGTGCAAAATAGTATGTTTGCTTTTTTTTGCGATGTTCAAGCTAGTAAGTTTTTGAAAAAGAATATAAGATAGTAAATAGCAAGTTTTACAAACATGCAAGTTAGCAAGTTTTAGAGATGTGCAAGTCTAATAATTCTTTGCTTCTTGAGATGGGCAAATCTAAAAATAGGCAAGATATCACCTTTTGCTTCTCTTTTGAGATATGCAAACTAGCAAGTTTTTGCCTTTCTTTGAAATGTGCAAGCTAACAAGTTTTAACTTCTTGAATTATGCAAGCTAGGAAATCTTTATTCCCCTTTGTCATTGTCAAAAAAAAAAAAAGGGAAGGTTACAATAGTACAAAACTTTTTCCATTACATCATTTTTCAAATCATTATATGAAATACATGTAGAAAAATTAACTTAGTGTTGAGATATATAATTCATGATTACAAATTTCAAGTTATGAATATCAAGAGACAAATTATGATTCTTTTGGATAAATCAAATAGTAAAAAGATGAGTCATAGTAAACGATCTTGATTCAAAAGGAAAACTCAAGTTATAAAAATCAAGAAATCAAGATCATGATATGACAAAGTATAGGAAGAGTTTATGCATTTGGGAGATTTAACAATTTGTATAAATTTAATATTTAAACTAGCAATTTTGGTGCTTTTTATATGCTAGCAATTTTTTTTCTCCTCTTTGTCATTATAAACAAGAAAGAAGTTGGTTAGAAAAATACAATGGTATAATTTTTTTTTTACATCAATGCTCTACTTATAACATAACGTTTACAACCATAAATACAAAGGAATTATACATAATGAAAATCATGTCATGAAAGATAATATCAAAGATCATATGAATACTAGAAGACATGATTCATTTTGACAAATCTCCTCTTAAATAATCAAAAATAAATCTTAGGAGATCAAATGATAAAAGATCTTCAAAAGAAATTTTAAGTCATTAATTCCGAAAAATTAAGAGAAAATTCATGATTTATTTGGATAAATATTCTCTTTAATAGAATGCAAGAATAATACAAGGATAGAGAGTAAGGGATCTTGATTCATATAAAGAAAATCTCAAGTTCTAATTCTAAAAAATCAAGATCATGATATAGATAAAACTCATTCAAATTTAAATCATCAAATCATCAAAATTACTTTCAAAAGATTCAAAATAACATAAATAGATTTATCAATCTCTTATTGAAAAATCGAGTTAAAGATAGAGAAATTTTCAAAATGCATTCCCTTTTTATGTGTCTTAATTTATGCGATTTATTTTATACAAGTATGCCTTTGTATTTTATACCAAATATGCATCAATGTTTAAAACCAAAAAAACAAAGTTCATCACGACAAAGATCAGTAGCATAACACATAAAAAAATCATCAAGCATGATTTCATTAAACATAAAGTATTTTCAATCAAAATCATTTTATTTTGACTAGTGAGCTTTGTGAAGTATGTTGGATCTCTAGTCATAAGCCTTAAGCATCTATTATCAAAATTTTTTTGTTGCTCCTAGCTTTCGATTGAAGAGATATCTACAAGAAAGGTAGGTTTCCTTTATGTACTCATTTGACTTTGGGTCCCTTATGATTAGATCTATCTATCTTGATTTTTGGCATAAGGTTATTTATGGTTCCTTTAAGAACTCAAACCAATTTATGCAAGTTATGTCTTTTAAATGAATATTTATATGCAAAATGATCATGTCTACCATAAAAATTATATTTATTTACAAGAGAAATATGTAACGTGGGTCCTTTAACAAAAGTGGTTGGCTTTTGTTGAGTTTTACTCATAAAGTTGATTTCTTCTTTTCTACGAACATGACTCTTATTGGCAAGAATTATGTTTAAAGATCTCATGAGAGATTATTGGATAGAGATCCACTAATCTAAGAGGCTTGGGTAGTTGGATGGAGATCTAATACCTAATATGGGAGGATCCATTGAGGTTAAGTTAACAGTGAACCTCTATAAATAAGAGGGATTCAGTGGTTCATAAGCTAGAGTCTTTGCAGAACATTGCCGAAGCATTGGTTAAACTAAACGGAATCACCAAGAACTCAAACGCTCCATACCTGGTCACGCAGGTAGTCTTCGCTTCGTCGCCTTCAGCAATGCGCACCTGCTAGTACCCCGACCAGAGGTCGAGTTTAGATAAATACTTGGCTTTGCCCAATTGATCGAACAAGTCTACGATGAGTGGGATGGGATACTTGTTCTTCACTGCCACTTTATTGAGGGATCGATAATCGACGCATGATTGGAGGCTCCCATCTTATTTCTTTTGGAAGAGAATTGGAACTCCGAATGGTGCTTTAGAACTACAGATGAGAACACTGCTTAGTAGTTCACCTAACTACTTTCTAAGCTCTACCAACTTTGGAGGGGGCATGCGGTAGGGTGGTCTCACTGGAGGCTTCACTCCTGGTTCCAGCTCGATATAATGATCTACGCCTCTACGTGGCAGTAGAGTCTTCGGTAACTCAGGTGGCATAATGTCTATGAACTCCTTCAGGACGTTTGCCACCACAGTAGGTTCATGAATGACTTTCTTGTCGAGTGGCTCTAGCTTCATAGCAGCCACAAATGTTAATTTACCTTTTTGTACCCCTTTTTTCAGTTGTAATACCAAAATCTGTTGGGTTCCTTGGTTCCTCTCCGAGAGATGGGAACCACACAAGGGTTGTCACCTCCCATCATACATAAGGAGTTTAGGAACATCATTGGCACCAACTTCGCCATGTGCATAAACTCCGTTCCAAGAATCACTTGGAAGTCGTCCAATGGCACCACCATCATGTTTGTAATCTCGCTCCATGTTTCGATCTTTATGGGAACTCCCTTTGCCAACCCAGAGATTTTCAAGGTGTTGAGATGGCTGGTGTTTCCAGGGTACTGAGATGGCTGGTGTTTTGCGCGTAGCTGCGGCTTGCAGAAAATAAGCCGTGACACATGAAAATGGAGTTGTTTTGGGCAGTTCAGCTCGGCGCGGCGAGTGATCGCACTATAGCATTGCAACTTGTTCGAACTTGCATTTATACAAGCAAAAACACACAAAACTAAGGCAAAACATGCTACCATGTCTCGGTACAAGCATGCAAAAGCGACGAACAGTTTATTGAACAAAGTTGTTGCGGGTGCGTGACGACCGTTTGTGACAGCTCGTTGAGCGGATGTTCCTGCGACATTTGAGACCCTCCTTCTAGTGCTAAAATATTGAGAGGAAGTATTGTCGACGATTGAGTCAACTAAGCTTGGTTTTGACCCAAAGGTATAGGGATGTCTTAGGGACCTTCGTGGTGGCCTTGGTGTGATTGTAGTGGCTCCGAGGAGGTCTTCGTGTAACTTTAACCTACTCAAGATAATTTTGAGATCGACTCAGTGGAATCTGGCTTCTCTATGGGTTCTTGTATAAAGGTAAGTGTTGAGAGCGGTTTCTCGACCTGGCCCCTCTAACTCTTGAGTTAATTCAGGAGGTTATATAGGGTGTGAGAGGTTTTTTTGAAGAAATGTTTGACCCCTGGGTCGATTTTTATACTTGATCGACTGAGAGGATCCTCTGTAATGGCCTCAACATCTGACGACAGTGATAAAAAGGAGATACAAGCCTGAATAAACTTTTGTAAACTATTATCGATGGAGGTTGATAGTCTATAACAACCTCCAATGTCATCACTCGACTAATGGTGATTCGACTTTTTTTCTTCCATATCAATCGTGATTGATTGTGAAAGTATTTCATATATATATTATATAATAGGTTGTCAAATACATGTATTACAAACAAGCAAACAAAAAAATATATTTATTTATCTTAAATCGGAAATAAATACTCGAAGGCCCTGCGAGGCACGTATATAAGCTACTGTAGGACCGATAGGACCCCTTTCTCGTTACATCTGAAGCGCTTCGTCCCGCGATTCAAGGGTTCGCCCGTATCCCCCTCGCCGCTTCTCCGCTCTCCCCGTCTTCTTCTTCTTCTTCTTCTTCTTCTTCTCAAAGCCTCCTCGAATTCGATCCCCTTGGAGCCCTCCCTTCCTCTCCCCCTATTGACGACCAATTCGCCTCGCCTTCTTTCTCCGGATCGCGTTCTTTTGCCGTTCATCGATCTGCTCCCCCTTCAAGAAGTCCTCATAGAGGCGCAGATCGGGGTTCTAGGGTTCTGCTCCCGTCCCTCGGGTCTTCTTGCTGCGTCCGGGGGATCTGCAGACCGAATTGGCGAGCAGGTGCCCGAGTCCGGAACCCTAGATCTGGGGTTGGGGCCTCCGAGGAGCTCTCGGGGTCTTTCGATTTGGCGGCCGTTACGATGTTCTGGCGCATGACCGGATTGTCTCAAGCGTCTCCGGTGAGTCTCTCCGTGTTGGTGGATGTGATTTTTTGTTCTTGCCGCCTTCTGTTTTACGTGTTGTGATTGATGATTGAGAATTGGTTTCGTTTTGGCGCGTGCAATTGTCGAGGGTTTAGTCTTCCAGTTAGCTGTTTGTTCTGCGCATTGTGCATCTTCGTTCTTTTTTCCTTCCTTGTATTTTGAATCTGAGAACTCGATCGATCCCGTGGGTTAGTTCATTGTCTTGGAAAACGATTTAAGGCATCGATACTACTAGGAAAGAGATACTAAATAAGTATGATTTTCTTGATTTGGCAACAGGACAAAAGATTTGGCTTATTGACTTTGATGGTCAAACTGTCCTTTTTGTTACCAAACACAGTGGAGAACAATGTATGGTTGCAGCACACTTTTCGTTCATGTCTTCTTTCTCCACCAACATTTCCTATCCTAGGTAGTTACACTTAGCTTGATGACATGGTCCGTCTGACATTATCTCTTGGATGATCCGGCAGGAGAAGAACATCGATCACTTCTTTGTTAGGATGATTGACTGGATTATTCAGATTCTGTAGTGCAGGCTGTACCAATTAGTGCACTGGGGTGCAGTTGAGAACTTAGATGGCACTTGAGCAGTTTTAGAAACTTGGGAGTTCAGTCTTACTATATTTTGATCTTGGAACGAGCAATGCTTCTTTGATAAACTATTTTGTTATTAAATTCCTACCATCACATACATGCATTTTTTCATCAATACTGTAATGGTGCACAATGACACTTTCTTGCACGGCATGCCCTAGGTCTGGATAAGATGACATTGATATCGCAACTAATGGTGTGTGCCTTTTATTGGGCTTCAAGTTAGTGGAGGATGTTGTCCTCGGTAACGTTGAATGATTGAAAAGAGTTTATATAGCTAGAGCAATTGATGTGGGACCTAAGGGTTGTTGTTGCTGATAACTTGATATGCAGTAGTTCCACCATATTAGTAGCTCACATGCATCTATGTTATGCAGTTATTATTTTCTTGGAGACCAGTGAGTTCTACTGTGATTTCAATGGATTATTTTGCTGTTGAGTTGGATTTATGCTCTTCAATTGATCATATGCCAGGACAGGCTTGGTTTCTGACTTGCGGTTGCTAATGTTTATGTTGTTATCTTCTTTGGCTCTGGAGGCTTTGTATCCACAATTTCAAATTACAACATATGTGACAGCTACGTGGTTGCTTGGTTTTATTCACCATGAGAACTTTGGAACCGTTTCTTTTGATGTTTAAACCATGGTTTGCCGTACCGAACAGTACCGCCCGGTACGGGCGGTATGTACCGGTCCGACAGTCTTTCGGTACGTGGACCGCCTCTTACCGTTCTGTAGCAGTACTGTAGCAGTACCGAAGCACTGTAGCACTGCTACAGTGCTCGGCACACCCGGGTGTACCGCTCGGTACACCTCGGTATACCGGTCGGTACACCCGTACCGTACCATACTGAGCGCGGGTCGAAATGTCGGTACGGTACGGTATGGCGAACCTTGGTTTAAACTCTTTTTCTTCACCTTTTTGGTTTTTTTTTTTCTGTATACTAGTCATCTGAATGCAGTTTTCCTTATCGATACTTATCCTCGTCTGCTGATGAATTTTACTGTTTTCTCTCCTACATTTGCATTGTTGCTATTAGTTTATAATGCATGTAAAACAAGCATTTTTTTCATACTAGTTCCTATTTGTTTCAGGTGGACGCCATTTTGGAGAAGGAGAATTTTACCTTGGAAGATCTTCTTGATGAGGATGAAATAATCCAAGAATGCAAAGCATTAAATACTCGTCTTATAAATTTGTAATAGTTTGTTTTACTCTTTTGTTGATTGCCTGATCCATGTTCAAAAAGACTTTCTTCTAATCCTATGCTGTTACATAGAGAGATAATGATCTTATAGAAGGATACTAAAAATTACATTAGCATATCCTTTTCTATATACACAATTCGTTGGCGCAGTAGCTAATGCTGAATAAACTAAGTCACCAGAAACATCCTGGAACTGCTTGGTATATGCTTTTTTGTATCAGCAGACCATTTGTCTATTAGTTAGTCACAAAGAAGCAATGGGTGGTACAAAATCAATTGAAATTGAAATGTGGAATATTCTTATGAATTTATTTAACCAAATGCCAATAACTTCACCAGCATGTGGCTGTGGCAGTGCTCCCTTTCCACGAGGCAAAAGAAAGAAATTCTCGCAAAAAAACCTAGGAAAAACAGCACACACTGCTCAGATAAATATATTAATAACCAGGTTAAAAGAAAAAAAAAAGGTTCAAGAATGGAACTAGCAATCAACCTGTCTAGCTTTGAGAAAATTAATTATGCTAATATAACAGACTGTAAAGTTGTTTGAATTGTTTAAGATCTTCAGCGCATACATTCTTGTATTGGAATGTTTATATTTACTTGCATCGGAATGTCTAAGCAGAAACAGAATGATGAAATTGAGGAACAAAAATTGTGCAATTTGGAAAATTTTAGGCATGAAAAAGTTTTTAGTGAAAGAACAAGAGAAAGAAGGAAAGATGGAAGGAAAAGTAGAGTGGATCAAGGAACTACTTGCACTGCCACAGCCGATGCGCTGTGCTACACTGGCTTTTGCCACTCCCACCGGCAAGGGAGAGAAAAGGTGTGTGTGGTTGTTTTTTTTTTTCAGGGGGTGGATAGAGTAGTAACATCACATGTCAGGGCATCTAGCGCATGGATGATTAGTTAAAAGTAGTTGAAAGACTCAATCACAGATAACTATTTGATTTAGTAATTTTTCTAGCTAGTAATAAAATTACTCAACTATCTTTTTCACAGGAATCAATCAGGAACCTTTAATGGTGATATCCTGTTTCCCCTTTGGTTGTTGATGGTTGCTTGTTTGGTTTTTTTTTCTTCTTTTAGTTGTACTCTCATTTATGCTTTCATAGGTATACACTGTGTAACATCTGTACCTCTTTTCGCTTTTTCTCAAATTCATTTTCCACTTAATTAGTATGTAAAAGAAGTAAAGTACGAAGTACAGCCTCATGATATTAAGTTCTATTATGATGTGATTGTAATTTAGTTGATTGATTGTACATGGTGTTAGCTAGGAAAGTTTTTTCGGGATAGTTTGTTCCTTGTCTTAGTTCTGTATGACTCTAAATGTATGCTGATCTTTTTAGTTTCGGGCAATAAAATGGTATACTTATAAAAAGGGATAAACCACCATTTATCTAGTAGGGAGGGGAAAAAGTATTTCATTTCTCTGCAAGTATAAAGTGCCTCCTGTATCAACCTAAAGTAGTTGACATTAGATGCATGCCTGGGCATGAGCTATTTTTCGGATTGCCAGATGCCTCAATACTTATTAGACTCTACATTTTAAAAACTAGCACTGCTTTGAACTTTTCCAACAATGTATCTAACTCTTCTTTATGATGTTTATGATGTTGGAATTGTCTATCAGTTTTTTCCTCTATGACAAACAAGCACTTTCCCAGTTACACATCAAATTTGAAATTGGAAGCAATCGTGAGAGGTCTTTTATAATTTTTATAATATTTTATTCTATTTAACATAGTAAATTATGTGGTGTAATTATTATAGTTATTTTTATATGTCCTTTTATTCAACATTTTTATTATTGTTGAATGTGGAACTTAGGTTTTGCATGAATTGCACTTTTTTCGATCTCTTCAATGGTCTTCATTAGCCATTTATTGTTTCCTTATTGTTTCATATGTAGTTTGAGAGAAAAGGTCCAAGTGGAGCAATTGCTTCATTATATAACGGAGGAGCCGCCTGAGGATGCCGATAAGAAGCATAGTTTCAAGTGAGCCATAATTTGTTTGTCATATTACTCATGCTTCAACACTTCTGCCACATGATTATTTGTTGAATTTGGTCTTCAATATAGGTTTCCGTTTATTGCATGTGAGATATTTACTTGTGAGGTTGATATCATATTGAGGGCTTTAGTTGACGATGGACAGGTAAATGTCTCTATTAAACCTTTAACAGCCTGTGCGTTATTGAAGATCACCACTCTTTTTCAAATTGCTACTGACTGCACCTCCTTTTTTTTCGCTTGTTTCAGCTTATGGACAAGTTATTTTCCTTCCTCAAGCCGGATCACCCGCATAGTACATTGTTGGCTGGTTACTTTAGTAAGGTATCCATAACATCCTTTGTGTAGGATTTAGCCAAACATGTCATAAGTGATTCTTCAGCATTTTTAAGCTCTTCTTTCTGGCTAACAGCAGTTATTGCAAATGTTATGTTGTTTGGAAAGGTTGTGATATGCCTAATGATGCGGAAGACAGGCCTTTTTCTCAACTATGTTCAGGTATGTGCAGTTCATGTAGTCAAACAAGAAACTTTTTTTTCCCTGTGTTTTTTGTTGATTAGTTACATTAATATATATCTTTGTTGTGAAATTCAGTTACAAATTTACTGAAAGCATATCTAGAAACAATCTTCTGTTAGGAAGGAAGATGATTTGGCTAATCAGCAGCAGCATCGGGCATTGGGGAATTGCTCAACTTCCCCACAGTAGAAATTTCCTTCACTAAAATTATCAGCTCGGGGTGAATGACTAAATTAGCACACACCTGAAGTAATATGTTAAGAATGCTAAACTTGAATCAAACAATGGACTATCGTTGGGTTTTGCTTGATCAATGATGGCAGGAGCATGTTTGCAGAAAATCAAGCTTGTTAGGAGCATGCTGATAAGCTTGTTAGGGGCATTACACAATTTTCATACTTGGTGGGCACATTACTATTAATTTGCCACAGGTAAAGGTGATTAAGCCTGGGATCGTTAATTACATTTTCAGACAATCCAATGCCTTGGATTGACTGTAACAATTGCACAGTGTGGAATTCATCTCATTTGATGTAGTTGCGTTAGTGGATGAGAAAGGGTGTGATGTCCCTTCCATTAGTCTTGTACATGGGACCTGATACATTTGTTCACTTGGGTTTGTGGCTTTTGTTATTAGTCTCGTCTTCCATGTGTATTTAATTGTATAATGAGTTGCTACTTGTATGCTTTTTGCTGATAACCCTCTTGAAGACATTTAGAAATGTACATTGCATAACACTGATAAAGGACAACTGATCCTTCTGTATTGTCAAAGAACCAAATGTCTGAGAATCATCATTTGGCATGCATTTTCTTTATGCATGTTTTGCTTTAGGATAGTACTGGTAAGGAGGATGACCCCATCCTATTGGTGTGCTGATGTATAATGTGATAGTTTGATATCATAACTATCTGATTTTTTCTATTCACTTTTTTTGAATTGCCCATCAATGGACTATTTCTAGACATAGGTTGATGATTTTTGTGGTTTCTTTCTGACTTTTTTTTTATGCAATAGCCTTATTGAGCCTTATTTCAGATCTGCATATATCTTTCTTTCTTTTGCAAGTCTCTGAAGTTTCCAACAAAAGGGAAAAGAAATGGTAGAAACTATGATATAAAACATAATATAACTTACCTCTACGATCATATTTCATTGTTTTAAATGGGATTATAATCATCATCCACATTCCTCTCCTAGCTGGCGTCATTAAAAAAAGACAAAAGGAAGCAAATTAAAGAGAGAGAAAAGGAGGGAGGGAGGGATACCTGCTTAACTGATCTTTGCCCTAGCGTTCACGATTAATCTCTTCAGTGGCAAGTCATCTTGGCTTTGTCTTGTCTTCATATCTGATTCCACATAGCTTGGGCCCTAGAAGATTGAATTGTCAGGAAAAACAAGAGAGGATGTGCCATTTTTGTCTTAGGTGTTTATTGTGGTTCAAAATACTGAACTAGTCTACATTAGAACAACCACCCCCTCTTTCCAAAAATATAAATACTTGCATGAGAGCAGTTTTGCCTATGTGGATGACACTTTCTGAACCCTGTCATCAGTTTTCGTTTGCCTTCTGAGATTTTGATTTAATTTTTAAAACCGTAGATGGTACTAACTTATCTCTGTATAAAAGTGCCGCTGAGTGAACTAAATTCTGCATCTTGGCATGTATGGTAGCCATGATCAAGAGGGCTGATTACCCTTTATTCACAAAGGGTGTCACTGAGAAAGGTGGAAGAAACATCTATCTTTTTTATGTGTTAGTTACTGGATAAGGCTTGTTAGATGTTGTTGTGTTAAAAAAGAGCATTCTGTACAGGTTCTGCTGTATTTTGGTGAAAAGAGTCAAAAAGTTGAATGATGTTATCATTAGTTGTTGAGGGTTGAAATCTTCTGTGGAAGAGACACCACAAGCAATGTGCAGGAGCAATGTAATTTGCGCTGCTTTCTCTACTATCTCGAACCTGTGTTTTCAAGTTGTTTTACAACTTCTGCAAGCCAGATAGTTTGATTTCCAAAGGGATATTAACTATCAGTACATAATTATGTATTATTTGCCAAAGTTCATGTTCCAGTTTGTACATGTTTTCTGATATCATTTGCATAAATAAGTATTTGCACTTGACATTTCCTTGTTATTGTCTAGGGTCACCCAGAAATAATTCGTGAACTTGTGGACCTCATTGGGATCACATCTATAATGGAGGTTAGTGGTTCAGTTTCATTATGTTTATGTGAAGTTGATATGCAACTATGAAAACACAGAGCTACTAGCTTTTTTTTTTTTTTTTTTCATCTAGTTCTGATGTTGACATGTAAGGCAGGTACTCATTCGATTGATTGGTGCTGATGAAAATATGCACTCCAACTACACGGACACAATTCAGTGTTTGGAAGATGCTGATATTCTTGAGATGATCGTGGATAAGTTCAGGTCATCGGTATGTGATATATCTTGTATCATCATTTTAGATTAGTCCTTTTTGGAGACTTGCTATAAGGAAATAAAGAAGACATGTTCCTCTATGAGACATAAGCTATATACCAAGTTACCAACAACCAAGGTTTTTAATTTCGAATGATACTGTCCGTACCGGGTGGTACGTACCGGTTCGCCAGCAGACCGGTACGTGGACTGCCCGCTACCGGATTGATCGGCGATGGTTGATTTTGACCGTCGCCGCCCGCTACGGGGCGGTATTAGTCGAGGGACAAGGAAGAAGAGGGAGAAGAAAAGGGAGAACTTGGAGATCCAACGTTGCTCTCCTTGACGATCTCGATTTGTCGTTGCCCTCCCTCACTGGACGCTGCATATGAGATGTCGCCTCCTCGTTTGAGGTGACGAGGCCTCGGTGTCGTCGGCAACTTTTCCTCATCCACGCGAGGAGAAGAAGCCTCGGCGACGAGAAGAAACGAGGCGACGTCGCCCTTTTTTAATTTTTTAACTTTTTTATTATATATATATATATATATATATATACTGAGTGGTATGCCAGAGTGTACCGCTCGGTTTACTTGTACCGTACCGAGCTGAGCATGATACTCCGGTACGATACGAAATTGTGAATCTTGCCAACAACAATAACAACAAGTGCAATAACAAGCTTTAAATGTCCCAACTATTTAGGATCAGCTAATATGGATCTTTTTTTGAGATTGAGCTTTGACCAAGAGTATATCTAAATCAGGATTATTGAAATCTTTTTTAAATTGTTTCTAATACAGTCTCGTTAGGTCATTTTCTATGTCTTTCTCCACTATTAATAGTGTATGATCTATAGCCAAGTAAAAGAATTTCTTGATCCTAATTATCTGAATGGGTGACTTCTTTCTAATCTGACAATTTTTGAACAGGACTCACCGGAAGTCCATTCCAATGTAGCAGAAATTCTTTGTGCCATTACTCGATGTGCCCCTCCAGCACTCGCAGCTAAAATTTGTAGCCCAAGGTAAACATGATATAAGAGTTCTGTTTAATGCAAGCTTGTCATAGAAGTGAACCTGTTGATCATTTGGATCTTGAGCTTTGTTCTATCTTCTGATTATTTTATTATGTTTTCACATTGCAGTTATGTGGGAAGATTGTTTCATCATGCACTGGAAGATTCAAGACCTAAATCTGTGCTAGTGCACGCCTTGTCTTTCTGCATATGTTTGTTAGATCCTAAACGACTGGTAGCATCTTCCTATCAAGCGTTTAGAAGCCAGCTAACTCATGGATCATTAGTTATTGCTAGTCAAGAAACAGTTGAGGGTATGCTTGGGAGACTAGGTATGTTGTTGCTTTTGTTTGTGCTTGGGATACTTCTATTGTAAGATTTACAATTTGTTTATCTTATTTTTATAGGTTTAATATTTTGAGTTTCAAGTTTTAGTAGATTAGGATGCTTGTGATAAATTACAACCAGCTCTATTATTCCCTTTTATTTTTGGCTTTATTGCCCATCATTATCCTATATCTCAAAATAATTTCAGACTTTGAGTTGCTTATTTAACAACTTCCATTATATGTCTGTTGAGACATTGGTTAGTGCACTATTGCATGATTGATGGGTCTTGGTTTCAATTCTATGTATGACGTCTTATATGCTTTTTGATGTATTGACAATTTCTTTCTAAAAAAAACTTACAGAATCCTCTCCATGCCAACTTTTTTGTTTGGATTATATGATTCTTGTTGGTGTTGTATGGGTCCTGTGGGATCTTGAAATTAGATGCAACAGTAGTCTTCTTTTCTAGCAAGTGTAATAAATGTATATTCTTTTAAAGCCTTGATTCTATACACATCAGGAAATCAATTAATCAACATCTGATTAGGCTTTTTTTTAAAGTTTAGTGGTTACATGAGTATTCCTTGTGATGAAACAACAAACCTTGAGAGGATGACCTTTAAGATTTTATGGTTTGATCCTGAGCCACAGCCTTGGATCATATCTCATTACCACGGTCTTGGATCGTATCTCATTGCCACAATATTCATGGTTAAAAATACTGTGCATACTGGTCAGTACAAGTTGGTATTTACCAGTCTGACATCCAGCTGAAATGTGAACAGAATGATTTCACTTGGTTTGGTCTGGTATGGGTTGTATTGCTTGGTGAACTTCCAGTAGATAAGCAAATCAGTGTGAGATTGTAAGTCCACAACCCGGTACTAGTCTTGAAACTTTTTTTTATTTATGATAGCTGTTATGATTGTTCTTTTTCTTTCTCTCTCTTCATGCAAATTCTCTATTCGCTTGTCACTTGATACCCATATCAATTTTTTTTTTGACAGCTGTCGTTTCTTTACCTTTCTTTCTCTCCTCTCATGTGCCTCCTCCCTCCCTCTCTCTCTTTCTCTCCCCCTTCTCTCCTCTGTCATCTCTTCCTCCTTTGCTCTGCCATGTTGCTGCTTTCTCTTCTAGGTCGTTGTCTCCTCTTCCACCTTCTCATTCTCCTTTGGCAATCCTCCTGTCTTATCCTTCCCTTGGCGGTACTGATCAATTTAACATGTTGGTACATCAGTAGCAATCCATCTGTCTATTGCTATTATCACTAGACCAAACATTGGTTTTGTGTTAGGACTCTAGCTTGGAGAGTCCTAATTGT